TATGCTCTCTGTCCTAGTACCCCTTCCTATTTGGCTTTTTTCTGGCTCTCAGCTGGAGTGTGCTGGTCTGTGTAAGCAGAGTCTACATGGGGATGCATTCTATCCTGGTAAGTATATTAAATAAATAATCCCTCGCTGAAATAACTCAAGGTTATAAAGTGAGGCTGCTCCACCTGGACACTTTGCCTCCACTGACACCTTTAGTCTCAGCCCAGAATGGTAACTCAGTGAGGTCTACCTCAGCTTGGTCAAAAATGTTCTCCAGAAAATGCACAAGCTCCACTGCCTTCAACTTCAGGTTAAATTATATTAGGTTCATTGGTCAGGCAACTGATGTTAGTAGATACTGTTTATGTTCTGCTTCGTCCAGCAGTTATGCATGACTCCTGTTTTTTGTTTATTTGATATAGAAAAATTAATTGTCGAGTGAGGAAAATTAGCTTTAATAGCTTCTACTAATGGTTTACAAACATTTGTCCCTGTGTTGCAGGAGGTAATCACAGGCTTCCTGTACAGCCTTCTTATTCTAACCTTCTTCTGGCCAATTTTGGACAAGATCGACAACTTCTACATGATGGACGACTACGCTCCGCTTGTGGTTATCGTGTCACATGTGAGCCTAGGTCTTGTGGCTTTTTCTCTGGATTCCTGGAGCACTTCTCGGGGCGATACGGCTCAGGCTCTGGGCACCGGGGTAGGAGCTGCTTTGGCTACCCATGTGAACTATCAGCTGGGGCTGCTGCCGGATCCACCGCTTTCCTCACTCCCTCTAACTTTACCACCAATCACCACCAGCTTGGTGGTTCTCTCCCTGCTGCGCTTCGTCATCGGAGTCGCCGTCCTCCTCGTCACGAGAATGGTTATGAAAGCAGTGACTATTCCGTTCTTGTGCCGAGTGTTTGGGCTGCCTTCAGATGATGTAAGGCAGGCGAGGCAGCACATGAGAGTAGAGTTGCCTTATCGTTACATTGTCTACAGTGTTGTTGGTTTTAGTTGTGTCTGTGTGGTGCCTCTCCTCTTTAGGATCTTAAACGTTGCCTGACTGTTGTGTGCAAACCGTCTTACTCTGACATGCTCATCGACACAGTGAAGGCAAACGGCACAGGGAAACATGCTTGTTTTGACACAAGATAAAGTCTGCATGACAGAACTGATAATAAAGGATAAATATGGTGATATTCTTTTTTTTTTTTTTTTTTATATAGTTAAATTATTCCTTTATGTCATAGACCTCCATTGTTGTCCGAAAACTATTAAAAACACATCAATTAGCCACACTCCTGCACTGGGTGACATGTTCCTATTATGATGAGCATGGGCTCTGTAGTTTATTTTGAGTCCACCAAATGTGTATCAGTCTGCTGCTAAAAATAGTCCCAAACAAATACAGTATATACTCCTGTTCCAGTTAAAGAATACAGTGCTGAGCTGTTATAGAGAATAATTGATCCCTTTTTAAAAAGGAAAGTATATATTTGTGACCCTTTTTTTTTTTTTTTTTTTTAAAGATTGAGGTCTTAAGTGGGAATCAATGGACTTGTGCCCCGGAGGAGGTTTTGAGGGACAGAGTAAAGCATTGTTGGTATTTCATCTCTGTTTTGTGTCTCCTCGCTCCTCAATCTTCCTACCTGTGACCCGGAAATTGATCTCAGCGCACCATCTTGAAGGACATCTCAATTCCTTAAGTGCACCTTGAGGAGAGAGGAGGCTTGCCCAAGAAGCTATAAGTGAAGATGCACCCGTGTATCCTTTGCGGAAGTCTATTCGGCAGCCTTGACATATAAAAGAGCTGTGGCACACCTGGAATATACACTCCATTGTGGGAGCAGGACTCCACAGTGTTTCTTTTCTATTCATAAGTTGCATTAGTTTTTTAAGATCATCAAATGCGCGATCAAACTTTCTTCCCTTCACCGTTTGTGTAGCGCCTCATAAGCCGCTGTTCTAACCACATTCCTTAATGACATTTCACTTTGATTTTACTGATGTTTGTATTGTTAAATGTAGGCTAGTGATGCACGGATGGGCTGGTTGGATCATAAAAATTAACACTTTCATTATTAGCGGGGATTTCGGTCATGATTTAATGTGAATGAATGTTCTGTGTTCTTCTGCACATCCAAAAGGTCTCACACACAGTCCAGGTTCATACAGTGAAATGTTTGGAGTGAAGCACCCGTCCTCCTGATTATTGCTGAGCTCCATCAGAGCGTCTAAACATGGATTCCAGACACTAAAAGTCTATTTCGGTTTCCTTTGGAGAGTTTCCTCTGTCTGTCCGGTCAAGTTTATTACTACCGTTTTTAGTTTAGCTGCTTAACGATGTTTGCTGTCGCATTACTGCACACATGGAAACGTTTAAAATGACTGACGGCAGCCTCTCTACTCAATAAAGTCAACCGTTACAGAAAACACTCGTACATCTTATACAACACATAAATAAATAAAGAAATCACCTGGAAAGCTACAGGGACCAGTAGTGGTGCGGGTCTCTAAATTGGAGAAAATGATAAGTTAGGTGGGTGGCGGGGGAAATGATTTATGCGTAGGCCTACATGCAGATTCAGAGACTGTCAGAGCAAATCCGCTCATCACACCAATTCTGCTATAATCGTGACCTGACAAGTGCAAACAGCCGATGACGTCATATTATTAGGCTGTAATATCAACAAGAGCATCCTCTTAGGTCAACACTGATCTGCTGTATCTGATGTTGTCATATAGTAATAATAGTGCCCATTATGTAGTCTGGACAAGTCATTCCCAATGTATAGTCCTGTGACGACAGTTGGGCCTGCAGGCTGCATTTGAGTTGGGCCTGCAGGCTGCATTTGAGATAAATTTTACTGGTCATTCTTTACAGGGACTGATGATGAAACAGCCTCATCAATCTGAGGTCTGAAATGATCTGTTTACATCCAAAAAAAAGCCTGGGAGTGATTTACTGGATTTCTCTGTAGTAGATGATACTGTTATCTGTTGTTGATTTCAACAGCTTTATCCTTGAGATGTTAATACATGTCATTAGTTTTTGGATTGTGAAGATATGATCTGTAGCCTATATGCCGACAGTTGGTGTGCTCATCTGACAGAGATCATAGCAGCAGGCTGTAACAAATCAACGGACAGATGACGCAGCTGTGCCACACTTCATATTTATTTGACGTCACTTTAAAATGACACCTCGGAGACAAGGATGTCTCATTTCAATAAATGCCTGTTGCCTCGACTTCTCTCTCCTCGCGTCTCTTCCTCTACTCCTCCACTCGGATCTCGGGTGGGAGGAACAAAGACGTGAGATGAGGAATTGAGGAGGTACAAACTGAGAAATGAGAAAGGTCTTTACTTGGGATTTGTTGACAATATCAACAACATAGAACATCACCTGCCTTATCCTTTAAGATCCTCCTGTGATCGACACATTTAAGTGTTGACTGGAACTTATACAAAATTTATCGGGCATACTGTAATGATGCTTGCATTTATTAAGGGGGAATCCAATGTATATTTCCATCATTAAAATATATGTGTTATTGGCAAAAGAAATCGCTTCTCTTCTCAATTGTTGCCGTTCTTAAATCAAGTCAGCCTGGACGTGATAAAGTACTGTAAGTATTTGAGCGCACAGGTGTTGGGGTAGCGACATATTTACACTGGAGTAGTTATGTCCATTTAAATCTTTGAACAGGTCAGTTTTGTGATTAGTTTTTCTGCACTACCATAGTCACCCATATCGTACCTTTGTTTCAACATCCATCGAAATGCAAATTGTTTTCTCTGAATACTTATTTGAAAGCAAAATATCAAAATAACAGAAGTATTTTGCCATCTTAAATAACTTGAGTAAAATTGTTGCTCTAGAAAAAAAAAACTATTATTAGTACCTGACATTTTTGCTCCACTTTCCTTTACTACAGTATGTAAAACCACTAACCACTTGTCTAAATGTTTTCTTGTTATTTGTTGTTGTAATGTTCAAATATTGGTTTCTCTAATATTCAAGTTTGTGTATTTATACTTACTCATGGAATATTTATCTATTATTACCATCCCTCTTTTTTCTGTTATGCAAGAAGTGTATCCTTTGGGGGAAAAAAATCTGGAAACAAGGAGAATAAAATATTCCCCAAAAAATTAAAGTTTTGAATGCATTTTATTTTGTATAGTGTATCTTTCCTGTAATCAATAGGTGCTATTTCATCAGTGAGACTTTCATTGACAACAGTCAACTTGCTGACATGAGAGTTTCTGGATAGGCACAAAACATCAGATATGTAAGTAAGTAATCAATAATTATAAGCCTAAATGTTCTTCCAGCCAGTCCGTTCAGCACAAAGAAATTGAGGGTGAATGATTTAGCAAATCTTTGCACACGTATTGATTGGTATATACCGTAATTTAAAATTACACATTTGAGAAGTATTGCAAAATTCCAAAATAATTGCATTTTTTGTTTTTGATAGCTCAAAATACCAGTCCATATTAAGGTAAGGTCTGCAGTGTTAGGATCATGTGTTTGTCTCCCAGCACTTTGGGTTCGTACTTAACCTTTGAGCAAATTAGATAAGGTTTTATTTAGTTTGACCCACGCATGCAACAAGCCTAATCACTGTGCTGTCCTCAGAATTCACAGAGCTCAGCACATGATCTGACTCTCCCTTAACAATCTTTAACCATTAATCAGTGAAAGATTTAAGCTGTTATATCAGGCAGTTATTTGCAAGCTTTTCAAGAATCTCCCAGCTCTCCAATCTGGGCCACTCCCAAATAGCCTACCTAACAACCAGTGTTGGACGTGTTTATTACAGTCCTGGTACAGCCACATATACCGGATTTTGTCATTGTTGTGTCAGAGCATTTGATTTATTGATTTATTGCTGTTGGAATGTCATCAAATAAAGCAAATGCTTCTGAAATACATTGCCCACCATTTTTAAGCAGAAATGCCATGGAACCTTTTATTTTGAAAAATCGGAGTACGTCAAACCGGACGTCCGGACGTTTATGTTTTACCTACCAAAACACCTAAACGTCAGTCTGCAGAGGAGCAGTAGGGTCGTTTAGACAATGCTAAAGTTACAATTAACGTAATTATTGTAGCCATCAAAGAAACAAAGAGAGTTACTTTTTATAATAATTTTGTAGAAATTTGTGAGTTATTCCCCTCGTTAACCGTTGCAACGGTTAGTGTTAACCATATTTTTCTTTGGCTGCTGGAGACGTTGGTTAATTTGAAGCTAGCTCGGTCTGCTGGTTAATATTCGCTTAACTTACATCAAGTCTAAAAACATATGTGAAGTTTTATCTGGGATAAATATAAGTCCCCTGCCGCAAGTGCCAAATGCCTCGCTTGGAAAACTCAGATGGCAGAGGGACAAGAAGGTAAGACTGAAGCTGCACTTCCAAGGAAACTGACGGAGCAGCAAGGATTTCTGTTATTGCTCTGCTAATTTAAGTTACTTGAGTAATTCTCTAGTATAGAGATTTAATTTAAATTGATGATTATCACGCTATTGGCAATTTAACAGTAAAACATTTCCTTAATGATTGGACATTCCAGGCAAGTAGTTTTTTAGCAATCACTTTATAAATAAATTGTTTAAATGAGTGATGCAAACTAAAGCAAGAATTTCGTCATTACAAAATCACACATTTCATCCATGTGAACACGGGATGTAAGTCCAGATTCAAATTTTGCAACTTTCTAATACAGTTTTATATCTCTTTCTGTGCACAACATCAGACTAAAATTAGACTGGAAGTTTGTTCAGAGGTTCTGCAGCATCCAGAAGACCCTGTTCCCATCATGGACCAGTCAAAGTGTTCTGATGTTTGGGACACTGCTTGGTGTCACTCTGACAGGTAATTGCTGCACTTACAAAAGCTATTTGTGCAAGAGGAGAAATGTGATGAAAGAAATGTCACAAGCAGATCAAGCTATCTGTCAAATGTCTTTAAATGTAATTTTAATGACAACAGTCTCTCATGAGGCCTTATCACAAGACGCATTCACTGACTTTTGTGGCGTTGCCTAATTTCCCTACGTTGTTTTACAAGTCTCTGTTTCAAACAGTCTCCCAACAGTTCGCTAACATCTTTGTTTTTCTGCCATCAGAGCAGCTGATCATTTACCAAGTGGGTGTCCTCCCCAGCCAATTCTACAATGTGCTAGCAGACAAAGATTACTCAAGCTTCAGGAACCTGTTGGCCACAGCTATGGTGCTCATCTTGCTCAACTCCACAGTAAGTGGAAGGAGCTGTGGAGGCAGAGGCCAGAAGCTTCTTATTTTCCTTTGTGCACAGATCTGCTTCCGATTGGCCTGTTTACTCAAAACAAATTAGTAGTAATTTTACTTTTAAATAAGTACTTTTAGATTCTGCACTTCTCAACAACAGCTTTCTACTTACAGTAACCTGTATACATTGGTCAAAATAGAACTTAAGTAATAAAAGGCTTTTCTCAAAATTTACTGCATCATTACACCGATTTTTCTTGGGATAATAACTTTGCAAATAGTATTGATGAAAAGGTTCTTTATCATGCCATGTACTAGAAAAATCTAATTTTACTGTAGGTGCTTGTTTGACGGTTTTCGGTTTGTGTGTATATTAAATGCTATAAACAGTAACTTATTTCTAAAAATAGGATAATTTATTTATTGACTGGATATTACACCATATTTAGAAAATGTATTTATTAAAATATAGAATATAGAGCATTGCCCAAGTATACCTTTTATTACCATTCGGTCAGATTATTTATTGTACATTGTTTATATTTGGATTGCTGATAACACAGAAGCAACAAGGTCAGGACATCCTGACATGTTGATTTTACAGCCTGCACACGTCTGATCATGATAGTTGGATTTTGAACCCGAGATGTCGTAAACACCTATCATAATACTGACTTTATTCTGAGGAAACAGGCATTCTATATACAATTTATTTTAGCTAGAGGCTGTTTACCTTTGCCTTGTTAGTCTCATAGATGTCGACATATAGCTGCTGGTTATTGACTGTGGTTGTGTAACTTTCTCACACTAATAGACCTAACTCTGTCTCTCTCTCTCTCTCTCTCTCTCTCTCTTTGTATCTCTCTCCATCTCTCTCTGTGTTTCTGTCTCCCTCTTGCAGTTGAAAAGTCTTGACCAGTACATTTGCAATCAGATGTATATTAGCTGGAGGAAGACGCTAACTGAGAGCCTCCATACAGCCTACTTCCAGGGCCGGGTCTATTATACACTCAATGTACTCAGAGAGGACATAGACAACCCGTAAGCCTTAATGGTTTTCCTCTTTGTAGTCTTATCTAGTGCTTTTTAAAAAAAGAATATAGAAATAAATGTGATTTCAGTTCATCAGCATTTATGAATGAACAAATATAAATCTGTTGTTAGAGGTAGTGTCCATGCAACTCTATCACCTGAAAGTTGTTATCTGTTCAAAATTATAGACATTATAAAGTGGAATAATTCAATTGATTTGTTTTTTCCTTGTGTTTCTTTCCGTCTGACTTGCAGAGACCAGCGAATCAGTCAAGATGCGGAGAGGTTGTGTAAGCAGATGAGCACTATGGCTAGTCGTTTGATTGTATCGCCATTCACACTGGCTTACTACACCTACCAGTGCTTTTATAGGTGAGTTTGTAGAGTACTGTGATGATTTGAAAAACAGCTTCAGTTTGTTCAACTACATGTCACAGGATGTTTGTGGTATCATAATTTATCATACTCGTAATACATTTATCAGCTCCTCTGAAGTGGAAGTCAAAGCATCATCACTTTGAAATGGCTGATTTTGCAACAAGAAATAGCCGCAAGTGGCGATTCGCAGGTTCAAACCTTTGTTTCGCACTAGTGACTTCAAAATAATATCATACACGTGGTTTAACATTGTTATGAAACACATCCTGCAAGTTTTGTAGCGATTAAACAGGCAGTTTCTGATCAATAGCTTCATTTGTATAATTCCATATCCAGTTATTTTGCATTTATAGCGCCTCCTAGTGGTTGATTTGAACTAGACTTGCAGTGTATGTGTGAGGTGCTTATGTAGACATATCCTGGAAGTTTTGTGTTGATTGCACAAACAATTTGTATTTTGTAGCCTGATTTGCGTTTTATCAAATATTATGTAGCTGCAGTACCGGAGGCTGCAGTTTCAGGACCTCCGCAACCCTGGGCCGCAGTTCTAGGACCGTAGTTCTTTTGCAACAACGCCATCTAGTGGAGTAGTGGTGGTAATGCACAGCAACACGAAGGAGGTTAACCCTGTCTGCTAGCACGTTGGCCTTGCGCAGCTGTAGGGTTAACCGGTCGACATGCATATAATCAGTAACTTGGGTTTAGGCACACACTCACACAGGTTGTGGTAAAGATAATTTGCTTCAGGGGGCTGTCAAGAGTAACATAGCTAGCTAGCCAGCCAGCTAGCTGACAGTATCAAAGTAAACAAGGGTCCTAGAAATGCAGTTCCGGTTCTGAAAATGCAGCCTCCGCTACTGCAGCTACATACTACTTGTAATATCACCTGCAGTTTGTTTGCATTTATAGCGTCCCCTGGTGTTCAATTTGAATGAAACATTCAGGGCATGTTTCAGTTACTTATGAGGATATATCCTGAGAGATTTGTGATGACTGGAGAATGTAATGCTAAGCACCTTTTTTGCGGTTGTAGCGTCCTAGTGGCGTATGTACATCAAACTGGCCAAGTATATCTGGGGCTTATCTGAATATATCCTGTGAGTTTTGTGATGATTGGCTCTGCCGATTTGTGTTAATTTATGTCCAGAGCCACGGCCCTATTGAAGTTCATTGGTCCATATCTTGAAAAGTAATTGAGATATCAACATGTTTTATACAACTTTTAATAGGCTTGATCCAACGATGATTCACTGAATTTAGTGGCAATCAGAGCTACGGTCTAGGAGGAGATGTCACCATGTGGTCGATTCGGTTCATATTTCTATGGAAGCACATGCACACACTTTCCAGTTAGTCCCCCAAGTTTCATGTTTCTAGCTTATTCCAGCTCACGGGAATTTGAGCCGACTCGGCAGACAACAAATAATAATAATAATAATAATAATAACTAAAAGAGACAAACATAAAAGGGTTCTAACGCTTCGTAGTTTGAACCTACTTAACAAATAAAATTGCTTTGAGAAAGGTTTATTTGCACAGTAAGAAAACATGCAATGCAATTTAAATGTAGAAGAAACAAATGTGCATTGTCTAAGAAAGTAAATTAATATAAATAAAGGCATTTACACCATAAATTGGTGCAACAAATGTCTCTAGAATGCAGCAAATTAACCCCCAGACCGACCCACTCATATATTTCAACATCGAATATTTTTTCAAAATAGCGTTAAAATATCTTCTCATCTTGTTCTCATGACCAAAGTCTTTCATCACACCCCTAATCTCAGACCTTTTGTTCCCACCGCTTTTCAACACAAAGTTACGCCCTTGATAGTTCACCTGTTGTCAGTGAATATATTAAAGTCTTTGACAGGTGACTGTTATGAGAGAGAAACAAAAGAAAAAAACACAATATATGTGTCGGTTCCAAACCTAAAGGTATGCTGCAACTTTAAACTTATTTAAATGTAGGCTAAAAAGTGTGAGGCTCTATTTTTGGGCTGTAGCGAAATGATGCCGTAAATATTATGAGTATTATCTTTTATATGCATTTGAGTGTTCAATTGTATTTAAATATATTCAGTTTTAATGCATATTCCCTCTTATTGTCTTTGTCATGTTGTTTTAATTCCTTATGTAAAGCACTCTAAATTGCCTTTCTGTTTGAAAAGAGGAAATAAAGTCGCCTTGCTTTGCAGCACTGGCTGGATCGGTCCTATGAGTATCTTTGGCTACTTTGTGCTTGGGACCATTGCCAATAAAATCCTTATGGGGCCAATTGTGTCGACTCTGTTTGAGCAAGAAAAACTGGAGGGAGACTTCAGGTAAGTTCAGTGTGCGAGTCATGGAGTATCAAGCAGTGAACACACAAGTTTCTGTGTTAGTAAGAATGTGCCCGGACAGTTCTCCTCCATTTGATGCAAATCCTTTCAGTGTTTTATTGTCAAGGAAATCAGTCCTTTTCTTAAGAGGAAGTATCTGTAGACTTTGAGCCAGCTTTTTGGGCCTCTTAGGAAATAACAGGATATGTGTCAGCTTTTCCTGCAGAGAAATTGTAATTTAATATAACAGTCACAAGTTAAGACAATGTGATTTCATGTTGGGGGAACAGTTGAAGGAAAATTGTGTTAAATCTTGAATTGTGCTGCTTGAAAGTGAAATCAATATTGAGATATGTTTTTGTATATCCAGATTCAAGCACATGCAGATCCGTGTCAATGCAGAGTCTGCCGCTTTTTACAGGTGAGAGACAACCACATGATTTATATACCAGGGTCAGCCTTTTCTCATTTATTTTACTGTGTCTCATGCATGTATCGCGCACGCAAAGAGACTGCTGAAACAGAAATACAGACATTTCCAGAAAGTGTAGATGCTCATTAACTGTATACCTTACATGGAAACTGTACTTGGTGTACTTTCCTTTGATTAAACTATAGTACAGTATTTGGCACTATATAGTTCTGACGCACCAAGTCACACCGATTGTGAAGTTAAAGCAGGTTGGAAAAAAATGCTGCTGTCTGTTTTTAGAGCCGGTAAAGTGGAGCTCATGAGGACCGACCGAAGACTGCAGGCTCTGTTGCAAACTCAAAAGACTCTAATAAACAAAGAGCTCTGGCTTTATAGTAAGAACATCCTATACATCCCTCAATCACTGTCTCCTGTCTTTCATTAGTTGCTTTGATTAAAACTTGACTTCTGACCTCTCCCCTCTCAGTTGGGGTCAACACCTTTGACTACATTGGAGCTTTTCTCAGCTACATTGTAATTGCCATTCCCATCTTCACTGGTGTCTATGATGGTCTCACTCCTGGTGAGCTCAGTGCGCTCATCAGTAAGGTAGGCGTGTTTTCTGTTTCCTTTCCCCACTTCTGAGAACCGTGTGTTCCTTCACCTACAAAAATAAGATGTGATGATACAATCAGTAGAAGTGTGACTTTCACTTTCAGTCAACTTTATCAGTCAATCTTTGTTGTCCCCAAAGGTCATATGGTTAAGCAGCCGTGACACAGAAACAATGTAAAACAAGAAGCACAAACACATAATTTAAAAAAAACGTAGACCTGAGTGGGAGAAGAGTACATTAGGTTAAACAATTTAGAAACAAATTTCAAATAAAAATATAAAATTTTAATCTGTTTCTAATTTGTTGCTAATTCAACCACTAGGTGGCAGCAAAAGCCTTTTCTGTTCTACATAAAGAAGTGTTGTAGCTTCAGAACTGAATCACACATGTACACAAGCAGAGTTGAGCATTATAATGAGCCAGTATTAAATTGGACTTTGTCTCATATCTCTGCTGATGTCCAGTGTGACTTATTGTTACTTCCTTTTCTGCGTTGTGTTCCTGTAATAATCCCGTCTCTTATTTACTCTCTCTGCTCTGGTTCTCCCTCTCCTTGTTCATATTCAGAATGCCTTTGTGTGCATCTACCTGATAAATGGCTTCACACAGCTAATAGACCTGTCAACCACTCTGTCAGACGTGGCGGGATACACCCACAGGTATCATGCTGCATACCTATAGTCACTTCCTGGAGGACAGATAATGACAGCAGTGTTTGTGCATGCCATCCACCTTTTTGTGTGTGTGTGTGTGTGTGTGTGTGTGTGTGTGTGTGTGTGTGTGTGTGTGTGTGTGTGTGTGTGTGTGTGTGTGTGTGTGTGTGTGTGTGTGTGTGTGTGTGTGGTCAGGATTGGGGAGCTGAGGGAGGTGATGGATGACATCCTACACAAGCAGTGTGACTATGATCCGGCATCAGGGGAAAGCTATGACTTTGACAGGTTTGCGCGAGCACTTTTATATTAATCTCTGCTGCAAAAAAGTCCAGTCAAAGAGATTAAAGCAACAAACTGCATATTAAAATAATGCACACACACGGCTAAACTTAGACAAGATTAAAAAACAAGACAAAGGGAAAAGAACATGACAAAATGAATATAAAGTACTCATAACAAAGCTTTTCAGCCTCCACGTGTTCTTTGTTTTTTATTTCATTTCTCCACACAGTGACTTCAATGTCCACGCAGGCCCCGTGGACACGGCCTTCATCCTGGACCATCTTTCATACAAATCTCCTTACTCAGACCAGCTGCTGGTAGAAGATCTGAGTCTGAAAATCAGTGAGGGAGCACATCTGCTAGTGGTGGGGAACACTGGCACCGGCAAGACGTCACTACTAAGGGTCCTCAACAGACTTTGGGAGGCACACAGTGGTGAGAGCAGCTAGACTCAGGAGGTTTGATTCATTTTAATCAGTTTTAATGTGAGTGAATATGACATAAAAAATACAAATAGAGGACCAATGTGTAAGTCCTTAATTATTTTCAGGTCCTGGACAGAAGACACAATAAAAAATGACAAATGTCTACAAGACATTTCAAATTGTTAATTGTAGTATGTAGTTTAAAATATCTGGAGCCCCTCGGTGAAAATGTTTTATTGTATGTACTGTAGTAGCATATTTTTACTTCAAATACTTTGTGGTCATGTTTTCCCTTCCCTGTTTTGTCTTAATTAAATACAAATTTGTTTCACATCATGTCCTTTAAAACAATACTCAACACAGAAATATGTGTGAAAACAGCTCATAGATATACGGACATATTGTCAAGAAATTTTTTACCAAACGTTTTTGAGGTATATTTTTGAGGGCACCAGGCTCTTACTGCAGGTTTTGTTTTTATAGATCCAGGATCTGTGTTTATGGCCAAATAGGAGGAGAGGGAGCGTTGTGATATCTCCACACATTAGTAGCTTCATGACATCGTCTGTCTCCTCAGGTTTTGTCCAGATGACCACATGTTTCGGGCCCAGAGGAACCCTCTTCCTGCCACAGAAACCTTACCTGACTGATGGCACGCTGCGCGAACAGGTCGCTGTCTCTTCTTTCTATGTTTGTTTTTCTTCAAGGGTTGTTTCTCTATAGAGCCTGTAACTTGTCAAAAATACATATATGTGTATGTATATATGTGTGTTGCAAGTGCTAAACTCTACCAAAATCTAAAGAGATTAGAATGAATGAGGATTAACTGGACCTCTCTTCTGCAACAGGTGATCTACCCACTGAAGGATATTTACCCTGCATCAGGTATCTGATTTCACATTAATTTAATCATTTAATGTTCTGGTAAAAAAAAAACAACCTACAAACATCCAAATCATTTCATTTGGAGTCCTAGAACCTTTACATTAAACATTTTAATACATCAAAAGCCAGAGAAACACGTCTTTTCAAACATCTCCTGAGAGCAGCATGTTGTTTGATTAAAGTGCCTCATTTAATGCTACAATAATATTGAGAGAATACCACTGATACAGTCGATCAGTGTTGTAAGAAGATAAATATATATAGGTATAACGTTTATATTTATATGAATCTAAACTTGGATCTTGGTGACACGTAACTTTGTGTTGATGCTGCCTCCTGGACTGAGTGAGTAATTTGGGTTTGTGATATTCGTAATGTGAGCGCCCTTTTTTTCAGGGTCAGCGGACGATAACAGAATTATACAGTTCCTGGAGCTAGCTGGAGTGGTGAGTGACTTGTCACATAGCTTGTTCATCCGTAAATTCCTAATATTCCTAAACTAAAATCTCTTTTGCTAAATTGTTTATTCACATTTAATATGTCATTAAATTATTTGACATTTAATCATTCACTAATCCTTATTTAAACTTCTATCTGTGCTCCAGTCCAGTCTCCTGAAGCGGACAGGCGGCCTAGATGAAAAGGTGGACTGGAACTGGTAAGAGAAAATACAAGAAGAAAAAAAATCAATGAAAAAGTGAAACACTAAATGTGTGCACTGGACACTCCACTTCTTAAAATGTGCTCTGAACTAGTATTTCTCTGCAGGTATGATGTTCTGTCTCCAGGTGAAATGCAGCGTCTCTGCTTTGCGCGACTCTTCTACCTGCAGCCCAAATATGCAGGTGTGGTGTTCTGGATTTCGGTAACGTTTTCATGAAAGCATCTGAGACATTCACTCATCCTGACAGTTTGTCTTTGATTTAACACCTAAATTTAGCATTTCAGATGTAAAACCATTGCGTGTTTTCATCCTTGTCCTCAGTGTTAGAGTTGCTTTTTTTTTAACTATTGTGTTGTGTTCTTTTTACATTTTTAATTTTAATTTCTTCTTTGCAGTGTTGGATGAGGCCACCAGTGCTTTGACGGAGGAGGCAGAAGCACAGCTGTACCGAACCTGTAAACAGCTTGGCATGACTTTGGTCAGTCTGGGACACCGGAGCAGCCTGGTGAAGGTAGACTGAAAACACATCTGTCAACAAGATTGAAATTAAAAGAATGGCTCGGCTTCACTTTAGCCCACTTTGCACCAGAAAATCCACCAATTAAGAATAAAAATGAAGAAATCTGGATGGAAGTGAAGATTATACATATATTTATACACACACACACACACACGTATATGTCTATATATGTACGTATACATACATATACACGTGTGTGTGTGTATATATATATAATGTATGTATATATATATATTCCTTATCCATGAATAATTTCAATTCTTACGATTTAGCAGTTGTCTCACGTTTTGCTCTCTTATCTGTCTAAATCTACGAAGTTTATTAACTCTGCCTCTCTATTTCTCACAGTACCATGATATCCAGTTGAAACTGTGTGGAGAAGGCCGGTGGGAGTTAACCAGGTTAAGAAGAAGCAGCGGGCACGTGACCGAAGAGTCTGCTCTTTAAAACCCTGGACATGCAGGAAGCATCAGGGTGGGAGACGAGAACAGAAAACACTCCTAAATTCCTCAAGCTACTAACATTCAAGTGCTCTTCAACAAGGTACTTTAAAACCATATATTCTCATATCCACAGGCAGTTTAAGAGAACAATGTTTCTCACCAGCCAGCTTGGTTAAATACGAGCTTCAGAAAGTGGGTGGGAGTGCAACATTCTTCCAAGGAAGATGACTGAGGCTTGTGGGTCAGAAAGGAGAGCTCTACCAAAATGTTCTGGACCCAAATACTTTGAAAGACAGATGGTTTAAATGGAGTAAATTCGTCCATCCTGACAGGAAATGGGGGGGGGGGGGGAGACCTTTTAGACCAAAATCTTGTGTACCTTTTTATGTGAGATTACATTTGTTTTATTGTATTATGTTCACATTACATTGGGAATATTAGTTCCAATTATGTAATAAAAACACACACTGTTCTCAGCTCTTTGTAACTCCTATCAAGAGCAGACTACATCTGTTGCTTATACATGCAGTTTTTAAGGGTTTTTACCTGTTTTCACAAAAATGTCATATGTACAATAAAAACATTTTAATATAATTTGTTACATTGGCACAAGTCTGGTTGAGTGAAACCGAAGAGTAATGTGCAAGCATGACTTTATATTCCTCTTCAGAAAACACATCATCGTGGTTGTTGTTTACTGCACAGTTCACGGTGACCTTGGATGATCTCTTGAACTGCTGCAGGATCGTCCAGCGTGCTGAGGTCACCCAACCCGTCCAAGTCTCGCTCCACCACTTTCTGCAGCACCCGCCGCATTATCTTACCTGAGCGTGTCTTTGGCAGCCGCTGGACAAGCTGTGAGAACAACCCAAGAAAAACATGACCAAGTGACAAACAAGTCAAAAGTAGTAGAAAGTCAGTGAGACAGAGTTACCTGGATGCAGTCTGGACAGGCGTACTTGGCGATCTTTTTAGATACCATGTCATTTAGCTGCTGGGACAGGTCTGCCTCTTGGACGTCCACACCCTTTTTTATTACCACAAAGGCATACACACCTGACAACACACAGAGACAATACTATGATGGACATTCTTAACTAACATTGCGATCACATTTTTACAGTGCCTTGCGAAAGTATTCGGCCCCCTTGAACTTTTCAACCTTTTGCCACATTTCAGGCTTCAAATATGTTTATTTGTGAACCCTTCCAGTGTAGATTGTATTGTTTTGTTGGAAGACAAATCTCCGTCCCAGTCTCAGGTCTTTTGCAGACTCCATCAGGTTTTCTTCCAGAATGGTCCTGTATTTGGCTCCATCCATCTTCCCATCAATTTTAACCATATTCCCTGTCCCTGCTGAAGAAAAGCAGGCCCAAACCATGATGCTGCCACCACCATGTTTGACAGTGGGGATGGTGTGTTCAGGGTGATGAGCGGTGTTGTTTTTACGCCAAACATTGTTGTTGCATTGTTGTCAAAAAGTTCGATTTTGGTTTCATGTGACCAGAGCACCTTCTTCCACATGTTTGGTGTGTCTCCCAGGTGGCTTGTGGCAAACTTTAAACGAGACTTTTTATGGATATCTTTAAGAAATGGCTTTCTTCTTGCCACTCTTCCATAAAGGCCAGATTTGTGCAGTATATGACTGATTGTTGTCCTATGGACAGAGTCTCCCACCTCAGCTGTAGATCTCTGCAGTTCATCCAGAGTGATCATGGGCCTCTTGGCTGCATCTCTGATCAGTCTTCTCCTTGTATGAGCTGAAAGTTTAGAGGGATGGCCGGGTCTTCGTAGATTTGCAGTGGTCTGATACTCCTTCCATTTCAATATTATCGCTTGCACAGTGCTCCTTGGGATGTTTAAAGCTTGGGAAATCTTTTTGTATCCAAATCCGGCTTTCAACGTCTCCACAACAGTATCTCGGACCTGCCTGGTGTGTTCCTTGTTCTTCACTTTAAACGGACCTCTGAGACTTTCACAGAGCAGGTGCATTTATACAGAGACTTGATTTCACACAGGTGGATTCTATTTATCATCATTAGTCATTTAGGTCAACATTGGATCATTCAGAGATCCTCACTGAACTTCTGGAGAGAGTTTGCTGCACTGAAAGTAAAGGGGCTGAATAATTTTGCACGCCCAATTTTTCAGTTTTTTATTTGTTAAAAAGGTTTGAAATATCCAATAAATTTCGTTCCACTTCATAATTATGTCCCACTTGTTGTTGATTCTTCACAAAAAATTACAGTTTTATATCTTTATGTTTGAAGCCTGAAATGTGGCAAAAGGTCAAAAAGTTCAAGGGGGCCGAATACTTTCGCAAGGCACTGTATCTACCCCTGTGAACTACATTATGTTGGAATCACATTTTCTGACTGATTTACGCAGAAAAAAAATATTTCTTGCTCACCTTGTCCTTTGATGTTATGAGAGTATCCTATGACAGCAGACTCGGCCACTGCAGAGCAGTGATTCTGTTACAGAAATCACAATCAGAACCGTCTGTACCCGATGGGAAAATATTTGACTTGATTGGCTTGAGCTTTGGAAAATGGTGAAAGGACCTAAAAAGGCACTTTTAATGAAACTGAAATGACTTTCCTTATTACTTGTGTATATAGTTTTGTTAATGATTTTAATGCTATAAATTTTTTAATCGCTTTCATATAAACTTGACATATTTGTCATGTTGCCGTTACATGAGAATGAAAATTATTTGTCAATCATTGATTGGCCTTACGACTACATCCTCTATCTCTGCTGTCCCAATCCTGTGACCGCTCACGTTGATGACATCATCAAGGCGGCCGGTGATCTGGTAATACCCCTCCTTAGAGCGATAGGCGCCATCACCAGTAAAGAAGTAACCTTTTGGCACAAAGATTTAGAGACCTTACAAAAACAAGAAAGTGACAGTTGAATTTCCATAAGGTGCTCGCCAAAAACAACAAATGAGTTGAGAAACACCATAAAGACAGACGGTTAGGAACACATCGTACTGTACCAGGATAAGGCTGACAGTAGGTCTCAATGAATCTCTGGTGGTTGTTATGAATGGTTCGGGCCATACCAGGCCAAGGCTGAGCTATACACAGAGCTCCGGATGTGTGGTTGGAAGTCAGCACTTTTCCCTGAAGAAAATATAAAACAGTGATAACTGTTAATGCAAGAAACAAGGACAAAATAATAACTGAGTAATAATGTTGTAAGTGCAAAAATTGTGCCATGTGATGTATTTTGTCTTGTTACTTGCAACATTGTATAGGCAGTGACACTGGTGATTGGTCCAACAACTACACTGATACACCTACATACCTATACTCACAATTAGAGCGCCACATTAAGCCTTGTGGATATCGTCCTCTCAAAATGCTGTATGTAAGCGTCTGTGTGTGTTTTTGTTTAGTGGGAGGAAGAGAGATCAGATCAGAGACACCACTCCAACTGTCTGTGCAATCTGTGCAACTGCAGTTGCCACAAAGTGTTATGACAGATTATTAATGGGGACTCTGGCACGCACAGAGCGGGACTGACGGGTGGGACCAGGGTGGGTATCAAAGGTATCAAAAGTGACACAGCTGGTGACTAATCCTAATCTGACCCTTCCTCCGGGCTGTTCCCAGCCATCCAACATTTGCAGGGATGGCACGCCACACACACACACACACAGTCACACAGTGATGAGCGCCACACCTCAGGGTCCATGAGCTCGGGCTTAATGCCAAAGAAAGGTCTCATAGCCATTCCTGGGACAATCTCTGCGTCAGGGTCTGATGGCCTTGGGCTGATGCAGATGCCACCTGTCTCTGAGAACACAGAGTGAAACAAGGCAGATTATAAAGCTGGTGGCCTATATTTTTATCAGGGTTCCCACTCGCCCTTGAAAACCTGGAAAACAGTGGACTTATTTTCCAGCCATGGAAAACACCTGGAAAATGAAAGAAAAAGTTAAATGTCCTACAATGTAAATTGCATTATCCTCTAAAGGTAAATATTAGTCACTGCTAGCTGGTAACTGCAGTAGTTTTTATTAGGCTTATAGATTAACGTTTTCTTCTCAACTTGTTTTAAACAGTTGAATTATATTAATTGGTTAACAGTTTAAATTTTGTGTTTCAACTCTGGCTTGGAGCAATGGTTTCAAATGTGTGTATTGCTGAGAAAGTTGGATAAGAATGAAGAGGAAGCCAGGGTCAATACAATGAATTGTAGCCCAGCTGTGTTTGCATCAAACTCCAGCAAAATAATGGCTAACAGCACTTTTTGTGACACTGCAACTGGGCAAAGGACCACAGTGATTTTAGAAAACTAAAGTTCAAGAGAGTTAGTTTGTTAGTAGGCAACATTGTAGGCTTTTATTTGTGTTGAGACTTCAGTCATTGGTGTTCAGGCAGCAGTGGTTAAAATATGATTAATAAGAAAGCACACAAAACAAAACAAAAAAAATACTAGGCTATACTGTAAAAATAATATTATAACATAGCATTAAAAAAGGCAATATCATGTCATTTCTATGTAATAGATGATTTCATAGATAAGTTGTAGCCATAGACTTCGGCATAGAGAAACATATTAGTGTATAACGTGTTCCCTGTCTTTCATACCAGCTAGATCATCTCTGGAAAAGTCCTGGAATATGATCTCTAGAAAAGAAGGTTCAAGGAGTCTTTATTATCCCTGGGGGGCAATTCGTTGTGCAGCAGTATGTAACATAAATAACACATAGGTTATACAAAACAAGCCAACATCAGTAAGAAACTACATACTACACAGAAGTCCACATCTCACACTGAATTATTAAAAAAGCCTATAGCAGCAGGGACAAAAGAGTTTTTGTGTCTGTCTGTCCTGCATTTAGGCAGACTGAATCTGCGGCCAGATGGCAACAAAATGAAGCAGCTGTTCAGGGGGTGACTTGGGTCAGACAGGACTGATTGTGCCTTCTTGAGGGTCCTTGTCTCATTTACAGAATTTAGGTTAGTCAGAGGATTGTGGGAAATTTTGCCACACACCTTAACTATATATTGCAGCCTGTTTTGGTTTTTAAGAGTGAGGGACTCAAACCAGCTCACAAGGGCAAAAGAAAGAATAGTTTCAAGGCTCAAAGGTGAGTTTATCATCGAGTGTGAACCCTGTTTATTGTTGTGTTTTGATAATAAGACTATATATAATATTATGAGACTTAAGACAAAGTCTCATAATATAATAGACAAAGTGATGTGCTTTTACAAAAGATGTTGAATTAAAAATGTCTCATGAATGTAAAAGACTGAGAATAGATGAACCTTCACACAGTTCTACACAGACTGGTCAAGACCAGATTAATATAGTGCAACGCTTACCAGAAAGCCAAATAATTAACCTTAACACAAAAACATAATTGCAAATCAATATTTGATTAAAATGAAAGGGACAGAGAAGCAAGTAGGAAAATAATAATAATATAATACATGACAGAGCTGGCTAACACTGTAAACCTAATATAAGCCCTTCTCATTGCTACAGATGTAGATTGTGGAATTACAGCCATACTAAGCACATTAAATTAAATTAGGTTAGCCTGGACCTCAGAGACCCTCGTAATCCGCCTGGTAGTGTTGGTTCACAGCAGAGGGGACCCGTTTTAAAGTAGGACACAACAGATGATCCCACAATAGCATTAGCAACTGGCATCCTGCTCAGATCAACTGTAACCGTGAGACTTCTGGGCTACAACACCCCCCCCCACCACACCACACACACACACACACACAAAGAAATTACCCAACATTCTCCAGTTGAGCCTCAGTAGAGCCACACTAGATGTTTCCCCCTGTTTTCACTTGCTATGCTAAGCTAAGCTAAGCTAACAAGCTGCTGGCTGTAGCTTCATGTTTAGCATACAGACGTGAGAGTGGTATCAATCTTCACCTCTAGCTCTTCGCAAGAAATCAAATGAGCATATTGCCCAAAATACCAAACTAGTAATTTAAACCTGTGGATACTTATAAATATACTATGTTTTTTTCTTCTGCCTTAAAATTCCACAAAGCACCTCCTGTATCTTCTTGCCCTCTGCGTCCTGTATGATCCAATGGAGGCCGTATGCCAACAGCAGATCAAAATAAAATTTTCTCTCTAAACAGGCTACTTGCTCTCAGATCAACCAAATGGCATTTATGAATAATGCCACTTAGTCCTAATTGGAAACACTGGTCCAGGAAAATAACAAAAATATAATCCTTTTTACTGAAGTGGGGTATTTGGGTCATATCTGTGTCTGTAATTCTCAAGCTCATGATGCTCTGATGTTTAATTATTGTCAATTAATTATAGATTTTTGCCATTTGTAAGGTAATTAATGCAGCTTTTCCTCCATTTGGTCATTACTCAATCTAATTTGAAGGGACTGAGGATGAAACACAGTGTCAGTCATCAGTTCATCGCGAAAGTGATTTTGCGATTAGTGAAATCTGCTGATTTCTAACATGTTGTCATTATGTCCCATCATAAGCTACTTTATTATTATGTAGTTATTTTGCAGTGACATCACAGGTTATACTAAGTGTGAAGGACAAATTTGACAAGTCTGTTGTGTCCCAGTGCAAATACTGTAATTATACTGTCACAGTTTTACAAGCCCTATTTTTTTTTAACAAACAATTCTATTTTTTATTTCTCTGTGCTCAAAATGGAAACAAACTAAAGAACAAATTAACATTTTCTGTAGGTTTCCAAGCAGGTCGGGGTACAAACTGTACTATAGAGACTCAACTGAAAGTGGGAAGAGCATAGGCTGAGCGGAGTCTCTCCAGACGACCGTGATCCATTTTGTGACATGGCTCTTTTGGCTGCTACGATCATAACATCTTCAACTGGCTTATGTGAGAGTTTTGACAAACAAAACAGTGAAGATGGGATTAAATTATTGCCGCGTGTTATTAGTCATATTAGTCTGTATGGCAATGGTGTCAATGTTGACTGTTACAATTGTTCAATATCAAGTAAAAAAAGGTTGACTGTTTACTTCATGCTTCTGGTTCTGGTGTGCTGCTCCTGAAACCAGATGTTTAATTCTGAGAGGAAAACATCTGGTTTGATTCTGGAGTCCAGAGGGGATAGAAACACCCCCTCACTTTATATTTGTGTGTGTGTGTGTGTGTGTGTCTCCTCCCCCCACGTACTGTAATGTTGTGTGTGCGCACACTTGACCACAGTCCCGATGTTATGTAATACTATTATTGTTGGAAGGGCGGAGCAGACTGCTCTCCCCTTTAAGGCCAACTGATAGGCTGTTTTGTGCCTGCAGACGTGGCTGCATTTGACAGAAAGTTTATGAACTTAAGGGCCTTTTGTGGAGGGATTGTGATCCTGTCAAAAAGTGATGAAAAATGCTACTATAAGAGTCACAGCATGAGAGACAAAAGCAAGTTCTATGTGAATACAATAAATTAGATTTGGTTAACCTGTTGGAAAAAAACAGCCCTTTTCCAGGAAAGACGCCTGGTTACTGTAAATATGATGAAAATAAACTAAAATACAACAGTTATCATACAATATTTTCAAAATATACCAGGCGAATGTTCATATTTTGGCAATATTTACTGTTTAAATGTTGACTTTTATTTATCTTTTAGTTATCTTTAAAACACTATTATTACTATGTCCATACAACCACATTCCAAATAACATAACGTTGAAATATTGATAAAAACAGTGAATATTCATCAACATTCCTGTCACCAAAAGCACGCCCATGCTTTACAGGTCTGTAGCTTGAGAACGGTACATCCCACGTGGTGGTGGTGGGGGCATCAATCGATCCTGCTTGAGCAGAACATTCATTTGATACCCTGGATGTGTATGTAGCTCCTACAGGTCGCCCAACAAATGGCAAAAAATACCGTGTGTGAGAAAGCGCCACATGCTCTGAAAAAAAGGCAAGAAGAAGGCAGGCACAGGTCCCAGGCGCCCGCCGATACTCTGAGCAACAAATCCGCTGATTCTTGGACTTAAATGGCATATAAGACAAAAGTAAGTCAGTGGTTTTGACAATTGCGTGCTGCCCCGGTACCGGGGGCGTCTGTGTTCAAATTAATTGGTGACGACATATCACAAGAAAGTTAGAGCACACAGAGTTATAACACAAAAAACAGGCAAAATGTACGATAGTAATCACAGACACAATGCATGTACAGTGTGGGATGAAGAACTTATCCAGTTCTTCCAACAGCAGAACAGGCAGCTGGCAGCAGCAATGGCTAGTTTGAACCATGCAACCTGCAGTCTGATAACAAAGTAAAAGTTCAGCCTTAAGCATTAAACACCCCAATGCCAAAATAGTCTCCAGCCGTTATCGTTTGCCGCTTACAGCTTCTCAAATGACTGGGATGCTTGACAAATCACCCAACTGATAACAAGAATTATAAGTGATTCATGTGGAATAATTAATTTGATCAGCTAATTGTTTCAGCACTGCTGTTAACAAACAACTTTCTCTACCGCCCCTAAATTTTTCTATAATCAACATGAAAATCCAATCAAATTGGTTGGTTGGTCATTTTTGTGATGACTTGTTTTTAGGCTCTGGGGATGTAGGTTGGTCCACCACTTTGAGCCAGACTAAAATATCTCAACAACTTATAATGGACTGTTAACAGATAGAAGCCATCAGTATCTTTTGTGGTGATGCTCTGTTCAGTTGGAGTTCACCATTAATAAGAAGTGGTCAAATGTTGCTATCGTCATTTCGGGTAAGTGCAAAACAGCAGTGTTCGATCTGAGACAATACCCAGTCTACATTCACACACTACTCAAGTAAGTACATAGTGTACATGGTGTACTACATGGAAGTGTACTAAGGGAAGCATCCAAATTGAGATGCAGCATTAGTCTTGTTTCATTTTGTTTCCAGTAGCTAATTAATTCCACAATTTCAGGTGTATTCACAGTTACCTGTTTGCCACCAGGTGTCCACCACAGGGCAGCGTCCTTCCCCAACCACTCTGTGGTACCACTCCCACGCTTCAGTGTTGATGGGCTCACCCACTGCACACAGACAAGCACCGTATAATCATATACTGTTGCCACGTGCTGTTTGTGTACTTTGTTTTAGACCAATCCATATTTTGTTTAGGTTTTGAAAAAAGGACGAGGACTTCCATTCTTTATGTTAATGTTTGTCTTTTAACCCATTTGCTTCATCTTTCAGGGGAGCAGTTGTCCATCTCTGTGTGTGCGAGGTTGATCTCCTGGCATGCTGGACTTAGCCGTGGACACTGGAACATTGAGGCACACTGACATACCGGCCCTGCTTGACTTTTAATATATTTAAGTCTGCAACATGTGTGTGTGCTTAGAGGAAAGGAATGTATACAGTAACTTTCCATTACATGACACGTGTGTGTGTGTGTGTGTGTGTGTGTGTGTGTGTGTGTGTGTGTGTGTGTGTGTGTGTGTACATACTGTATTTGATGTGGACAAGTGCCAGCTGGTTGACTTGGGTAAATAAAGTGCATGCTAACGCATCAAAGTAAAAAGGGAAATGATATGCTAAACAAACGTAGTCACCACAAAGTCAGACTACCTCTGTGATAGTGAGGGAGATGTAATTATACAACAGTCTTACATTTGCACAAGCTGGAAAACTAAGACAAGACAATGCACTTTGAGCGATGCTGCACTGAAATTATTCAGTTTATAGCTTGCATCAGTTTTGTTTAAGAATTTGTCATTTTCAAATGAAAATCAATCAATTCAATTCTGTTGGCCAATTATTGGAAAATTTTGATCATCAATATCCATCTTTACTCAATTATAAAAAACAATTATTCTTAAGTAGAGCCAGATATTCCATTTCAGTTGCTTTCAAAAGCTGTTTTTCTGATTGCTTGTGTTACAATACAAATGAAAACCATCTTGCAGAAACCTAAATCTTCCTTTTAATGGAGAGCTATTGAGCAAATAATGGTATTTCTAAGTAGTAGCATGTTTTTGCGTACCAGAGCCAAGAGTTTTGAGGGTGGAGCGGTCGTATTTGTGCACCCACTGGTCTCCGTACTTGAGCAGCAGGCGTATCGCTGTGGGAGCCCCGTAAAACTGGTTTATCTTAAGTCTCTGAACCATCTCCCAGTACCTTCCTGTGAACAACAAAACACGTCTGTGTTAGCATGGTCCAAAGGGATGCACTACTATGTACTAAGATGATATGGAAAACTCAAAATCAGAACAGAAATTAGACAGAAGCCGTCACCTGAGAAGTTACGACTAACACCAGAGGGCTTTTCATTCTGCCCAGTGGTGATGAGGACAGTTTCATCTTGACAGTAACAAGGTGTGTGTGCTGATGACACACATGATGAGTGTGTCCTGACTCCTGAGTATATAGAAGTCCTAATATTAGGACTGTGGAAGGTAAGGCCAAGTTCAACTGTAAACAGTTATTCATAGACAAAGACACAAGCACGCAGAGCTCTTGGCAAAGGACAGGAATACTTGGAAGGTGTGTGCCAACACACTTTACACAGCACATTAAATTTTATTTCAACATGACACTAAAAATGTTATTAAAATCATACAATGAAAACTAGTGAGTATATGACAAATTAGAGGGTTTACTTTTTCAACTAAAGGTATTTAGTTTTTTTTGTAATATAAGATGAGTTTTATTTTTATTAGAAATTTGTCGACCAGTCTGATACAGTGCTGACATTCATACCTGGGTCAGGGTAAATGGGAGTGCTCTCAAACAGGACAGTGGTTCCCCCGTTGGCCAGGGGCCCATAGACACTGTAACTGTGTCCTGTTATCCAACCAATATCTGCCACACAGCCGAACACATCTCCGTCATGGTAGCTGAAGACGTACTGTGATGAGAGGGAAGATTGATGGGATGATTGGATAAAAAGAGAAGATTGGGTGTTTCGTTTCCTTTTTATGTTTTGAAGTATAATACTATTTAAGGTGGAAGTTTGGTTAATAATATACCTTGAGTTCACTATATGACGTGGATACACCATGCTAAAACTAGAGTACAATGTTTGTGAATCTGCTGTGACTATGCATTGCGTGATTTAAAAAATAAGAACAAGACTCCACAGGTCGAGCTTGGTGTTACCCTGTGAGTGAGTGCAGCATACAGCAGGTATCCAGCCTGAGTGTGGACGAGTCCTTTGGGCTTCCCCGTGCTGCCGGATGTATAAAGCAGGAACAAGACGTCCTCACTGTCCATGGCAGCTGGCTCGCACACTGTGTCCTCCTTCAGCATCTCCTGCACGGCAAAGTGAATTTTTAGTTTTCATTTGTTAAAAATCACATTCAGTAATGGAGCCACAACAGAACAAACTTTATTCTATGAACTTTTTCTGGTTGAAACATGATGTATGGTGTGCAACATGTACAATGTAACTTTTTATGATGCAAGGATAAGAAACTAAAAATATAGAAGTAACAAAGGCATAAGAATTAAGGTTAGTCCATTTAGTAGCTGTTCTGGAGCTTTCTATCGAATCACAGGATCTTCCTCAGGGAAGTGTAGCTTAGACGTTCAAATTTCCATTTTTCTTCTGCTGAGGAAGCTCCAGAACAGCTACTAATGGACCTAGGTGTGACACTGTTCTGTTAGCTGCTGTTTCCAACATCTCAAACTTTTAATCTCAAAAAATGTTATTGATTAATCCGTTAGTTGATCAAAATGAACAATTTTGCTTAACTGATTTATTTATTAAGTAATTTATTAAGATAAACTGTATTTCTGCTAAATCAACATTTAAAACAACTCTTTACTAATTCAGGGAAAAGTGACAAAGTGCAGCTGCTCTTAATTCATTTCTGATTGGCTTACACTCTTACCTCTTCCATGGCAACGTCCTTGGCTGTCATGGCGAGCGGATTCTCTGTTCTCATGGCAACGAACACCTGCTGTACTGTCGGGCAGCTCTGAACGGCTGTATCCACTGTCTTCTTCAGCTCGGAGACCTTACCCCCTCTGACGCCCTGGTTTACCGTGATGACGGTGCTACACTGGGCTGAAAACAGGATGTTAAGAAATCAGACTGCTGAGGTGGATTATTTTTTTAATTGACTGTTGTGGTCACTTTTACCTCTTGCATTTCGATTCAGTTTCAAACTTAGTACCCAAATATTGTGAAACTGTGGCTAAGGACAGAGATTATATCGCTGAACACACACTGAACTTTATAAGGAGAAGGGCCCAAGAATAGTTTCTGTCAAGGAACAAGGTGAAGAGTGAGGAGGCAATCATAATCTTTTGATCCAGGAAATCAGATACTTCACTCAGGCAACAGTATGTCCTGCTGACCAACTCATTTAGAAATGAACACAGCATTAATTGATTATTGGCCACTTGGGGGAAGCAGAAAGATCAGCAACCTTATAATCATCCTTTAAAATAGTTATGATTCAAATATTAGCAAACAATTATCAATTTCCACATCCAGCAGACACAGCAACATTAGCTTTCATTTAGAGTGGTGTTTGTGTCTACACGGTAAATGTAAGTCCAAATTCACTCTCCTTTTAGCTCTGGTTTTGGTCTCCACCAACTCCCTCCCCCCAAAAAACTTGGCTCTCTGCTACTCATTAACTTTGTTAGGCTGTCGTTTGACGCTGGTCAGGTAGTGTGCAGTGGGTTTATCAGGGCTTTATCATTGAAAACCGCTGCCTGCTGTGGCTGGAAACAAGGTTAATAAGAACAGTGAGACTGAACCAAACAGTAAAGTTGCAGCTTTAAAACCAAGACAACGAGATGAAAGCGGCTAAAATGTTTCGTAGCAGATCGGAGCTGCAGGGTCGGGTGATACTTCTCTGTGCATTTGTCACTGCAAGCAACCACTTGCACATTACAGATAATGATTTGATCTACTGTCAAAATAAAATAATATTGATCAGTGCAGCTTTAAAATGTGTCCTGTTTACAGTTTTATGCCCAGTCACTTAAATATGTCATCTCAGTCAGACGGCATCAGCAGGTGAGTCACACCATCTCACCGTCTCTGATTCGCTCTGCGAGGGCCTCAGCACTGAAACCTGCAAACACCACGTTGTGTGCTGCACCGATACGGGCACAGGCCAACATGGACGCCACAGCCAGAGGACAAGGAGGCATGTAGATGGTGACGCAGTCCCCCCTCTTCACGCCACGCCGCCTTAACAGGTTGCCCAGGCGACATGTCATCTCCAGTAACTGCCTGTAGAGAGATATCAATGAACTTAACTACGTGGGACGAAAGGAGGAGGAACACACACCCACACTAAATCCAACCTGCTGACCTGTAGGTGACCTTGACCTCTGACCCCGGTTCATCTCTCTCCCAGATCAGGACCACCCTCTCAGGACAGGTGTGCACATGGCGGTCCAGGCAGTTCACTGCATCAACCCATTTAGAAACCAGATACACACACTCATAGAAAATGTCACATGGTGATTAAGGTATTTTTTGAATAGATATGCTGATTAAGAGACTGGTTTGCATGATGATCCCTTTGTTGTCTCTAGACTTGTTTTATTTAGAAGTGTTTCTCAAAAAGCAGCATGGGAAACTGTGTCTGTCAGAAGGAAATAAAATCAATGCCTCCGATTATCACTTTAATTAATCACCATAAATCCAATCATTAGTCGTGTTATTATTAAATGGGAACCCAGTCTTACCGGACACATTCAGCTTTCCTCCCTCAAACCACTTTATCATGCCTCGGCTCAGATCACAGTCTTGGACCGTGTGGAAAGGACGGATCCAGCTCAGTCTCTTGTTCGCCACAGCGGCCCAGAAGCTCTCACTGTTGGAGACGGAAAACTCCTGCAGGGCCGAGCGGTTCGACGCGCCTTCAAAGCCCGCAGCCTCGGGCATGAACGCCGTTATGTTACATCTCCTTCGACTCAAAACATGGAAATAAGATCTGAAGACGGTAACTGCGTACTTTGAGGTGCATCTGTAAGGCAGCCACATCATGACAGCGAAAAAGTATTGCGTGTTAGCGGAAGTTATGTTTGCAAAGCATTTCCTTCTCAGACGAGTCAGTGTTTAAGCAATTTTGGAAGTCGCTCTGCCGCTCTTTAAGTGAGGCGAAAAACTTGGAATCTCCGGAGGGGAAGGAGGAGGAGGCTAGAGCAGTGATGCGTTAAAGGGCGGTACATATGTGCCGACACTTTATCTTTTGTTGGAAGTAAAGTTGCAAAAGAAAAGAAAGGTTTCTCTTTCTGCAAGATTGTGGAAATTAGCCTATAATGACTTCTTGTCCCTCATTTAAAGATCCAGATTTCAAGGCTGGTTTCTAAACTAGTTGTGATGTCACAAAGTCATGCTCATAAAAATAAGTCTTAAAGTGAGATTTATGGTGAACAAAGAGAAACTTATCAGAGAAACATCCAGGTGAAGACAATAAGCAAAACAAATTTTTGAGTGGAAGACGGCTTTAAATATCAGTAACTTTTAATGAGGCTACAGATACATTTATACAGAGAAACAGATAATTCATGTTAACTGTACACATAGTACACATTAACTATCGGACATTATTTTCAGTATGTACATCACAAATGTTGCAACAGATGAAAGAAAACAAAGATTCAGGCTTGTAACGTTTTCACAGGACTTTATACCAGCTGTGCTTTCCAGTTACCTTTAACTGAAATCAGTGAGGGAGGTGAGGTCAGAGGTCACTCCTTATTAGCACCTGTGGAGCAGGTGGTCTATTTCGTGCTAAAGATGCTTGTTGAAAGGAGACTTGCTTCCAGATACCATCTTTATCCACACTGTTGCATAAAGTAGCTGCCATTTCACAGAACTGTAAAGGTTAACAATCTATTTAAAAGAAAATAAATATATTTTTTTTAACGCAGCTCCATCTTCAGTAAAGGTTAGGGAAACACTTGTGTGCGTAAGCCTCCTTTTAAGTCTCCTTCCAAAGGTGACATGAAGAGTGTAGTTTGGAGTTGGCTGCAGGGACGTGCACAGGGGGGTTGCTCTGGTTGCCCGGGCAACTGCCCGTTTGCCTTTCCTGACTCAAGTTGCCCTTCCGACTCGCCCTTCCGAGAAAAAAAAATTAAATAAAAAAATAATCGCGATCGCAAAGCCTCATTCACTTCCATTCGGGCACCGAAAGTGAAAGTCAGTAGGGGAAGGGCAAACTCTGTTTAAGTGGCTGCACTGCTGCAGCGCTGCCTGCACGTCAGTCGATTCTGTTCCCTACCGGAATTCCTGTTTCCTTCCTTTATGCAATTATACTACAACAAATCATGCGTAGTTTTGCCCAGTTACCATACGTGATACGTACCAACAGAAGTGAATACGAGCTAGAAGCGCAACTGAATGTACGGGAAGCCAAAAGGTTAAAAAAGGATTGTATTTTTTTCCGAAATCTAAGCGTTTTTTTATTTAATATTTTATTAGAAGCGAGTTTTCCCCATCTGTCAATTCAATCTAGATTATTTATTTTCAAATAAAAAAAAGGAAAAAAAAAAATAATAATAATGATTAAAAAACAATAAACAATAATATAAGGAACTCTTTTTCTCATATGTATTTTGGTGACATTTATATTGTTAATACATTTTGGATACTGTGTTTAGTGCCTTTTTTCAGGTCAGAGCAACTGCCCTTCAAAATTCCTGTGCACGTCCCTGGTTGGCTGTACAAATATTTCTAAGGGCAGCGAGGAAGAAATAATCTCATTGGTTGAGTTAATAAACCTCAAAATGTTGGCGCCGAAGAACCTTTTCTCAGAGCAGAAGTTACTGAGAGGTTTATAATATATAATCTGCAGTATGAAGTCTAACAAGCTCATGGGTGACTCCAACTCAACCAATGAAACAAGACTTGTGCCTCTGACGTGTTTGTAAACTCCACTCTGCGGGTATTTCGCCATCAGTCTGTATCCTGCAGCCCTTTTCAGTTGCTCTTCTCCACCTCTGCTGTTTCCTGCTCCGTCACCTTGTCCCCAGTTTCCTCTTTATGCGTCAAGTGGCTGCTTGTCCTGTCTGAAACCGTCCCGAGCATCTTCGCGCTGTGCTGCTGTGCCTTCGCTCGCAGTGCAGCAATACTGTTCTCCCTCAGTTCCTCCTTAGAAATTGGCGAGTTAGTGTCTTTTGTCTGTTTCTCCTCCTCTTCCTCCATCACTTTGTCCACTGGTTTCTCCTGTGTTATTGGTGGTGGTGATGGTGTCAGGCTGCAGGGCTTTCCAGGAGAGGTGTGCGAGGTTTCACCTGACTTCTTGTGCATACCTGAAGGGGAAGGACAGTCCACTTAGGGTTTGCAGAGAAGGGTTGGATAACATCACTTATCAAGAGCACTTTTGTCTTGTAAGCATCCTTGTCTTAGTGTTTACAGGTGTAGCATGACGTATTGATGCATTTAGGTGATTTCAAATCTATAATGTAGCACCAGTTTTTATGTGTTGAGGTGTTTGACATTGAAATGAAGTGTGAAAGAGAGTGAAGGGGACAGATCGATGGACAGGACCTCTTATTCAGTTAGAGACACCTAATTGATTTAAATTAATCAATTAACGTGAGGCAAGAGGAGATTTAGGCTAATCTGTCCTGATTAAGTAGGATTATTACTGTATTGACTGCTACCTCTTATTGACATGCTGACACTTTTATTGGCTCCCAACATGAGCCCGGCTTAGCTCCCACTCCCTGTTGTCAGAATACATCTTAATCCCCATTTTCAAACACAATGACACAAACTAATACAAATAAGGATTGCATTTATGTCAACAAAAGCAGGTTTTCTTTGATCCTACAGTACAGCAACTAAAATATGGGCTAACAGTAATTACACAAGAATGAGCAGGAAAACCCCCACATTGTATTTGTATCAGACAGAAGAAAGTCTGAATGGGGCAATGGAGAAGAGAGATAACTTTGCAAACTTGATTTTCACTTAATAATAATATAATAATAATAATAATAATGAGCCTCATTATTGATATTAAAGGTGTAATATGTATGACTTTTATTGCCACCTTTTACATTATGACCATAATGATCTGTAAAAATATCTGTGAGAGTGTTGGAATTTTAAGAAACAAAACAAAAGCTGAGGCAAGCTTACCAAATTATTAAATTACAGACAGTCATATAATAAAAGGCAGGAGGAGAATGCCAATTCTATCATTGTTTTTGCCAATAGAGATCAAGATCAATAAAGGTCATAAATTTCATAATAGACTTTATATAAGTCCGTCAGAGAAGGAACAGCAGAGGTGTTGCTTATAACATTAACTATGGCTCTATTCTATTAAAGTGTCCCAGTGACAGTGAGAAACATGTAAAATACCAGAAAAATACTGAAGCAGCTAAATGGAATTCAGCCCTCAACAGTCATATTATTTACACCTGTGACTTTTCCTACTGTGACTTGTCAAACTCTCCTCTGTGATCTGTAATTCTCCCAGTTGAAATGTCAACAAACATACTTATGCAACAGCTCACCTAATAGCCACGGCGCGTAAGAGTCCGTGATGCCCTCCTTGGCTGACTTGAGGATAGACTCCGGCAGCGGGATGGAGTGACGGACCATGGCCCCGTACAGGCCGTACTCTGCCATCACGCTGCTGCGACCCCAACACTTTTCCCTCTTCCTCCACTTGGCCCTGCGGTTCTGAAACCACACCTGGAGAGATGAAGGTCAGATAAGGGTCAGATTTATTTAAGTTTATTGAGCTTTGCAATACAGTGACATTAACCTGCAGGCCTATAATTTATCTATGAACATTCTTAATTGTAAGTAGACCAAAATACGATTTAAATCCCCCCACACTGCGTGCAGTTGCTTCACTTGGATGTTTGGGCGTCACTGCAGAATGACGTATGTGCAGAGTTTGACACTAAAAGGTTGTTTTCACATTCATCTGCTGAAGGTGGGAGCGTTTCTCTGTGATCGCTTTAAATCTCAGGTTAAATTGTGTGTACTGGGTTGAAAATCCATGCACATACACTGAAAATGTACTTTTAAGTGAAGCAGGAGACAATCTTGCGTTTGGAAGTAAAAATTTTGCATGATTATTCATAGAGTCTGGATTTTTTTAAAAGAGAGAAGGAGTAAATGTAATTTTAAGATTTAAGATTTTAACCAGTAATTGGACTTTTTTTGTGTAAATACACATATCAGATACAAATTATTATTCAGAGCAGAGTATTTTTATATTAAAACATGTTTGGAGGGAATCTTCTTTTACTCGTTTCTTTTAGTTTGATGATGAGACAATCCAAAGTCACTGCTGGATCAACATAAGAATATTTTATTTTAGTGGCCCAGGAGAGGCTTTAACAAAAGATAATGTAAATGAAGAAGACTCCTTCCCATTTTGATTCAAATTTGGATGTTTGCTTGTGCACAGATTCCTTTAGGTCCATTATAGACTCAAAATGAAAGTGTCTGCACAAAATTCAGTGCTGACATTCAATGTTTAATATTTTTTCCTCATTGCTTCACTTATAGAATATCTTCGGCCCATTTTGTGTGTGTGTGTGTGTGTGCGGGCATGCTCATGCATTACTCTCCTTCTGGCTCTTCAAGTGCCTAAATTGATTTCCACCAAGCCAGACCTTGTAATAGCCTCAGCAAGCTTGTGAATATGGATGAGCAAAACAGGGGAAAAATGAGCATCCTAAGATGGCCGAGGAGGCAGGATGGGAAGGGTGTGTGTGTGTGTGTGTGTGTGTGTGTGTGTGTGTGTGTGTGTGTGTGTGTGTGTGTGTGTGTGTGTGTGTGTGTGTGTGTGTGTGTGTATTTTGCAGACCTGGAATTAAAAACGATCAAAGCTGAGCCAGGAAAGCTATTCAGGTAGATCTGATGATAACCTCCATCTCATAAAAAGATGAGCCTCAGATGAGCAATCATGCTTTTTGACAGCAGCAGTGTGAGTGTGCATGACAGTGTGTTTGTCATCGCTCGCACGTGTGTGTGAAGGGACAGGTGACCCCAGGGGCAAAGAGGCTGATTGAAAAATAAGTTAATTTCCAGGCCCGATCGATGGGAGACAGGCGCTCAAATATCACGGGAAATTAAAATGCTCATAGCAGCCAGAGGCCTCTGCTCCACCATTGACCTGCGCAAATTAATTTCTATGTAGTTATCGTTTCATTTCAGGGCTGCGGCCCGTCTCTCGCAGGGAAAGAGGTAATAAGTTATCCTCAATTAACTAATTACACTGAGAAGGTGAATCAGCTGCTAATGTGAAACCAGAAGCCATTGTGAGGATGATGATGGAGCAGCTGACTAGTGGATCTACCTGTTTTTTTATGGGGGTTGTTTTGTTTAAAAATCCATCTTCATCCCTCTGAAATAAGCTTCATTTCTGCTACTACTACTGCTACTGTGATTGCAAGTCATTTTAACTTTGAGTTCATGTTAAAGAAGCTTTATATTGCAGGAAATATCTGAGTTATCTGACTGAATACACACTTTTTTGTCATATTGTCCCTCTTTAAAGCAAGATGATTAAAGCATCTCCATGATTTGAGATAATAGCAGAGCATTCATATTTACCTTTCTGCATATACTGAGCAGATATCAATTAACACACCTGTATTCTGTCCTCTGGCAGCTCAGTCTTCATGGAGAGCATTTCTCGGGCGTATACGTCTGGATAGTGAGCTTCATTAAACGCTTTCTCCAGCTCCTCCAGCTGATAGGAAGTGAAAATAGTTCTGCAAATAAAAGGAAAGAGAACAAATGAGAATAAACACCCTTATTTGGATTTCTGATTTTTTAACATTTCTTTAATTTTGTTGAATTTAAATTGAAATGGAGTGAAATATGAAAAAAAATATAGTCAATTTGAAATAAAATCAACAGAAAATCAAAATACAAAATAGGCCATGTGATTTTTTCCCTCACAAATATTCGTTATTAATCTTAATTAAAAAAATAAATAATAAAAATAATAATAATAATAATAATAATTTAAAGACAAAACAGAGGAACTCTCCATGTTTTTTATGTCAGCTGTTTCTATAAGGACTTTTAGGCTAAGAGAAAAACCACATTATGAGCATACACACATGACAGACACACACGTGTTATTGCAGGAATTAAAATAGATTTTTTTAGTTTGAGGTTTTAATCAGTGATGACACCAAACTAAGGTCGCCTATCGTGATGTTATAAAGGCCTAATACATGTCACACCGGAATATCACCAGTGTAAAACATGCAATTGTAAATTAATAAATGTAATAATAATTGTAAATGTAATTATATATCAGTTCGATAATCTTGTTTTCCATTTGTTTGGTTTTTCTTTTACCTGTGTCGTCTTTTCTTTCTCTTCTTGCTCTGACTCAGGGAGGATTTGGAGAACTTCTGGTCACCGGAGGAGAGACTCAAGTCATCAGAATCTGCGAGGAAACACATCAGTGAACAACTAATCCAATACGAGGACAACAGCAATAATAATAATAATAATAATAATAATAATAATAATAATAATAATAATAATAATAATAATAATAGGCTATCTAAATTGTATAATAGGCTACATGAAAGATGGTGGAAAATAGTTGGCTAATTCTGGTCTTAAGTCGACCTTCCTGATGTAAAGGGTTCATTTCTGCTTATTGAGTCTTCCCCGCGGATTTGTCCCAAATGATATTAAATATCATAAATAAATACTAATAAAACTAAATTAGTTTAAGAATTTTTTTTGTAAGGCCTCCTCATCTTTCCCCATTTAAAAAAACCCCAAAAGCCTTTAAAAAGATGCATTTCAGAAGAAAAATATTCTTATCATTTTGAATTTAAGTTTTAGTCTTTTCATTATTCATCTCATTATTATTCGATCAGAGGGCGCGAAAGCTTTGACATCTGTATTTGTTGACTTCTGTTATTTCTCGGTGCATGAAATTTCTGCTATCCACTCATTCTAGCTCGCTCACAATACATAGGCCTACCTGAGCTAAAAGTGTGTGCTGATATAATTGAAACATACAATCTCATCTGTGCAACAGAAACCTGCAGGGTGTTAGAGTTAGCAGGCCTCACCTGAGCTGGCGGAGTGCTGCGCATCCATCTGTGTGTCCACGTGCGCCGCTCTGTGCAGCGGCTGCAGGTGCACATTTTGCGCCTCAGACAGCACCTCCAGAAAGGCAGGCTGGCTGTAAAACGAGTGTATTCCCTCTGGTCCCAGCAAACCCATACCGACCCCGAGAGCCCCGTGTCCGAGGGCCGACCTGGCGGCCAGGACGTGCGCCCTGTGCGGCAGAGCCTCCAGCGGCCGCCTCGGGGCCACCGGCGGCTCCTTGTTGAGGCCGAGCAGCTCCTGGATCCCAAAGCCGGTGCGCCGGTGCACCGTGGGGGCCATCTTCCAGACCGGAGGCGGCTGCTGGGATCCCCCGTGGCTCACGCTGGTTTGTGAGGCTGATTTCTGTTTATTCTCATTGTCTGAAAGCAGAATTCCCTCCTTCCCAGTCATGGTGGTGCGGTTCCACTTTTTGCTCTCTGCTCCCTCCAAAAAAGCCAGCATCCCCTTGTGCAATGAGCCCCGTGATGCTCCGTCTTTATCTCCTCCGCCTCTCTACTGCGCTTTTTATCCGACGGGCAACAGGCGTGCAGCCAATCACAAGAGGGGAGAGACTCCTTACTGAAGTTCGCATCAGCACCATTAAAGTAGATTACAATAGTTCTGTCGATTAATTGAGACGAAATATTCCTATTATTTTTATTTTAAAATCCTCAGCGAAAAGAAATATGTATTGCTCTTACTTTCACTAACCCTTCCTGTTTCTGTCGCTGATCATCCGGGAGTCACTCAGATCCAATCAGCCGGGTTAAACCCCTCAAGTCGAGGAAAATCAGCTTTCTTTGCAGCACGTTTGTCCATTTAGTAGTGAGGAGCCCAAAAAATACTGAAAAGCAAAAAAATACTCATTACTTAACTAAATCTGCTGCTAAATAACACACGTTTGGCTTGTACAGTTTATTATTAGCCGTTTTATTTCAGCCTATTTATCGCTTATAAAAATAGGACTACTAGTTTGATATAACAGCCTATATAACAACAACAAACAACTTTATTTGCACAAAAGGAGAAGTCTCATTTACGAAATAAGGTGTGACGATTAAAATCACAGTAAACCGATAGGCCTACAGTAAAAAAAAAAAAATCATGCAATTGAAAAGATGAATAGGCCTAATGTGATTACACCTGAGTAAACTTTTCTTAAACTCAGCTCTCTATATTTTAATATTGTGTCAATATTAAGGTGAATCCTTTAAAAAATAATGCACACTAAACACAGGTCACGTTGGATTTTCAAACACTCATAAACTCACATAAGCCAATTTCTTTATCAGTTCATGAATCAATTGAGCTTCTTATTAAGAGGACAGCAAAATGAAACAACGTCCCGTGTTGATTTGCATATTCTAATTAGGTTTGCGCACTAAACGTTTTGTCTTTGGTGGCAGTCTGCTCATCTGTTGATAGGTTATTAAACGTTTTTTTTTATTCTTTGACGGGTCACATGATAAAGAATACAATATCCCAGCTCAGGGTATTTAGGGCACACCAGGGTGGCAATTAAAGAGGGGACAAACAGAGGAGCACATGCCTGTGTGCTATACAGCAACAGATTTATTTTACCTCCTCCTCCTCCTCCTCCTTTTTTGTGTAGTTTTAGGTCTGATATCAAACACAAAAAGCTGTGACACAGACTGAAAAGTTGCAGTGTTTCAGCGCATGAATGTGTAAGTAAGAGCGAAGACATTTAGGACGTCAGGGGAAATCAGCAGCTTCTCTTCACACTCATTTATCACAGTAGGCTATACACCTCGGCTCAAATTCAAACCCACTGAATTGTGAAATGAAGTGAAAATACTTTCATATTCCCTCTGTTTCCACAAACCTAATCCTCCCTAATCAGCTATTATTCAATTATTGCGCCGTTTCAATCGTTCCGAGATAATTTGCGGCACACTTTTGGACATCTGGACAGATAATTACGCAGAGGAGAGTTTATGGAGATGAGTGGACGCGCACGATAGAAGCGGAGATAACAGTCTTGTCAATGGGACATGTGGCGATGAATAAATAAATAAATAGGTGGTTCCGGTGGGACTGTTTGGCAGCAGTGCGTCAGGCTGTCAAACCCACATCAGATTTAGTGCTGGTTTGCAATCTGTGACGTGATCAAGAGACGTGGCTTCACCCCGGTTGTGTAACACTGCGCCTAATTTCCCTGCAGGAAAAGACACTCACAGGCCTTAATGTGGGGGTAAAATAAATATCACACAAGATTTTTGTATTATAACACCAAAGGACATCAAGCCTGTCACTATTTACTGTTATGTATTTTGGCATTGCTTTATTAAATGATTTAGCCTTTATTTTCCCTAATCACTGCGGAACTGTATAAAATCTTCTCTGCAAATGGAAAAATTCAAAAGAGAGAAGTATCACCTATTTGATGTGGTCCAGAAATAAAAAGAGAAAATTAAAAATCAAAAATGTAAACTAACAATAAAAAACATTCGACTGGTCCAGATGTTGTAGCCTATAGAAAGAAAGAGGAGAGAAGCAAATTAAATTGCCTTCAGCATCTCATGAGAAGCTATTAGAGAGGCATTTCATTAGAGGTGAATGAAGAGATCAATGCCACACCGATAGTTATGCTAATGAGGGTTCTACATTACACTCATACACATGTGCAGATAACATCCATGAATCACATCCTTCCACTTCGATCAGGATACAGCCAGAAACACATTTTTGCATCACAGCTCACCGCATTATCCTGCTATATATAATATGTGTTGCATGATATAATCAGTCCACTGATTTGGTATTCTTTTAACCACTCCCCGTATGAATATCAGGCACTGTAAAGTCACAACATTGTCGTATTCTATTCAAGTCAGTGAACATTTCCATAAAAGATAAAAGTTTAATCAAGTTTACAACAGCTAATACTGTAAACTACAATGATACGTTAAAGGTCAGGCAATGCAAAAATTGTGAACCAAAGGATTACATGACATTCATGGCTGAGTAGCAGCGTCTCCTGTGTGGAGCTGAAAACCTGGTTTTATGTCAGAAAGTTGACAGGAATAACTGACTAAACCCAGCTACACCTGCTCACCTCACACTCTGCTGACAGTATATTTACATCTTTCATTTGAACTCCTTTTCTCAGTCCAAATGAATCTTCACATTCATATGTAAAGTGATGGATGGCTTTACGTATGAAGTTCATATTTACTATTGTTAAATACACAATTTGGAAATGTTTTAGATGAGTTATAAGCCATGAATGAACTGTAAGTTCTTATGGAGGCTGTCTGTGCATTATTTGGCTACATATAGATGTGTTAATGTATATTGTGTGCATATACTAGTATGTTATTATGTATGATTACATTTAATTTATTATTCAGTTACTAACTATTTTATGACCACATTATTAACAAATACAAAAGGACGAACACCAAGAAAAGGACATGTTCATTCTTCATCATGCAGGCAGCTACGTCTTCAGTAGGGGAGGGTGTCCTCATAGGTGTACACATGACAGTGTCCTGTTTCCCATGGATATTTTGGTTTGTTTTTTGACTGTTGAAAGTGAAATATGCACTTTTACTTTGCTACAGCCAATTATGTTTGCTATTGTTCTGCAGCGCTACATATCTCTTCAGTTGAAGTAATAGCGTGACATAACAACGTCAGGATACTAAAATAGTGTGCCATAGAGCATGTTTATCCATCAAATGTTCATTTCTTTCCATACTTGAACTGTGTTGCACCTTTGAGGGAGAGACTGTGTCTGAAGCTTACCATAGCTCACTCTGCACTGGTAAGTTAGCTGTTGTTTTTCTCCTCTGCTAACTTTTTCTTCAGTCCCTAAAGAACATAATGTCTGTGAGTATGAAGTAATATTAGTTGAAATATTGACCTTAAATACTTACCTTGAAGCTGCTAAGTTCTTCTGCAACCTGCAACAAACCTAAAGATTTTAAAATCATTATGGCATAATCCATTTAAATTGTTTTTCCAATGTTAGCATTAAGCTAATCACTAGCTCATGCTAAATGCCTAGTTGAGTGAACGAGCTGTGCACAGACCTTTTTTTTGTGGTATTTTTAACTATATTTATGTAAGTAAAAAAAGAGTCGGACACAATTTTGTAATGCATCAGTTTTGGCATTGCAGTTTCACTGTGTTAGAGAGAAATAGACCTGCTTCCTGTTTGTTTATTGTAGGAACCTGGCAGCAGCACAGAACTAGCATGGACAGAGTATGGACCACAGCAGATTTATGCAGCACACAAGCACAAGAAAATAAAGATTTGACATTTTGTTTTGAATCTAAAGGCTGTGGAGAAACTGACATATTCTACTAAAGACCCTCTACAGACATTAAAAAAATATGGGGACTTTGTGCATTTGTAAATCAAGTTATGTGACCAAATCTGTAGTTTCTGACAAACAAATATTTATGAATGACAGAATGATGAACTATATACATGTTTTGTTTTTTGTTTTTTTCCTTAATGTCTTTTTTTGTTGTTGTGTTACCATGTATCGGTTTGGATATTTGTGTTGATATATGTATGTTTTGATCTGATAAAAATATTTGATGTTATAACAGTCTGGGTCAGTGATGAGCTTCTGAACCAGCTCTGTCTGTCTGATCCATCTTTGTCTTTGTTTGAGGCTCCAGAAGTGGCTCTTCTAATCTAGCTAATTGCCATTTCCCAGAGCTCAGCATTTAAGAAGAAGAGCTGGGTTACCAAATAGCTGTTGATCAAAACATCCTATTAAGGTGAAGAAACAAAAGGCTCTCACAATCCTAACAATGTGCCACTGGTGATTCAACAGTTTGCTCTGGGGGCACAAAGCATTAATTAGGGCAATAACTTCATGCCATTGCCGTTCTATAGTCTCCATTTCTGTATGAGTGCATCTATTTATGCTCTGAAGTTTGTCGGGGACTCTGACTTGCCGAGTGTGCCACATTCCCCTGTTCCATGTGCAGATGTGTTATTGGCGTAATGAGGAAAATACTTTTAGAAACATGGGAGAGAGCAACCCCCCATCCCAACACCAAAACTTTCCTGACAAAATAATATACCTCATTGTGGTTACTCATAACTACAATTGACATAATTACTTGGGCCCATTTCTTGTCTAATTAGCACACTTCCACAATGGATAGGGGCTAGCAGTTAGGCAGGAGAAGGGAATCGGACAGGCATGGCAGAAGCAACACAAAAAGGGGCCTCTGGTCAGCTTAATTAGGTGAGACAATGCCCCTGACTGTTTTGAGCTATGGCAGAGGCTCAGAGCTGGGGCCGAGCAGGCAAGCAGACTCTTCCAATGCCCTAATAAGCCCCTAATTGTCTTTTTTTGATTCACATGGGCAGCACTAGCAGACATGAAGACTGCCTGTTCTTGGTCTCCTGCAGAGAGCGTTGTCCTTGTCCCTCAGAAAGGGAGAAATTTAAATTGACTCACTCAGGGCCTTCAATGTTTGGCCCTCAAACTCCAGACAACTTGTGTTAACCTCCTGTGACAGCGTCCCAAATATGGAGAGCTGCCAGCATGTTGAAGACAGAGACAAGGGAACAGCACTGTTTCTCTACAGACAGCCAAGAGGTGCATCGAAAATTACTTAATGTTAT